TAAAATATAATTAAGCAAAAAATGTATCAATTTGTCACACACAATAAAATATAAATATGCAAGAAATGCACGGAACTTTCTGTGTTCATTTATGACGCGCTATTTTGTTGCGAGAACATTGGATCATTTGAAAAAAGTTGTGAGACCCCAACTAGATTTCCACCGTGGCGTTAATGAGGGTCGGATTAGTACAGCCAACTGGCAGGTACTCGAGGTGGACCCACGTTTGTGGATCGGGAAAAGTGTCTGGCAGTCCGCGTTCAGTGCCATTAACGCTGATTCATATCTTCTTCACCTGACAAGCCATGCATATATCGCAAGGGGGTTACAACTGCGATCTGTACACCATGGTTCCTAAGGAGAGAAGAAGTCAGTGGAGGCCAGAATAGTACATTAGTTTATTCTGTATACAGAGGAACGGAGAATAACGTAGGAAGAAGTTTGACTTCGGAGCGCACGACCAGCCAGGAGGCCAGTCGGGTCCTAAGTCCCGGTTTAGCAATAAGCGTGTCAGCGGTCATTGGCTATGTCTGCCTACGCGTGCAGGCGTGTGATTCGTGGCCGAGCTAGCAACCAGCTTTGCAGCGTCTGTGATTGGCTGTTCCCAGAAATCGAGAACAGCCGCCGTGAGCTTTAGTAAATTTCGCTTCGACGTGAACTACTCATGACACGCACTCGCGCGTGACAATCTACCCCGCATGCTCTTGGTAGATCCCTGTAAAATCCACCCATGCTGTCCATGTCACGCTCCCGGTGGGGTTGCTCTCGCAGGAGTCTGGGCCGTAGCTTCAAGAGACGTCGAAGCCAATCAGTGCGCACCATTTTTCTATTTGGATGCAGACGAAAAATGACCTGCTCCGGCGTTCTGTTATCCCGCTCGTGGACACAACAACAACTGACCAGAAGACACTTATACAGTTATCGTTAGGCAAGACATTCTAACAGAAAAGTCATTTTACCTAGCTGAATTCAGCTACCTAGCTCATTCAGCTCGCGTTCAATCGGACAAGGAGAGGACAGGCGACCCTTGGTTCTTTTAATGGCAGCAGACTACATTCTCTACTTGACAGTACTAGTGAACCAAACGTTGGTTAGCGGCAAGATGAACAGTAAATGGAAGCCCAATTGTTTTTGGCCCAGTTAATGCTATCGTGATGTGAACCCTCTTGACACAGCAGTGAACACAATAATGATGGTCCTTTTCAACGCCCTCTGATGGGAACTTTACGTACGGATGAAGGGGAATAAATTATATATTAAACTCGAACTGGCATTCATTATCAGCATTCGGGTAGGTTTCAACCCCTTTATCGGTATCCATGTCTTCGACTACAAACAAATGCCGTTAAGTTTGGATACGAACCGGTAGGGACGACAATGAGTTGATAAGCGTTGTCAACATTTAGAATATAGCAACAATTAATAAAGACAAAATTGTGTCCATTTCGCACCTGCGTGTGATTCTGTTCATTGATATACCTATCGGCCACTACGGTTACTTCAACTGTTTTGAGTCTAAATGACAAGGAATAAAAACCAACGTTTGTGTTTATGACGAGAACAGCCGTTTTGCCGACTGTTGATATACACGACTCAGTAAGAAATGTTGACAGAACATTCTTGTGTTATAGTAGGCCATGGTTCGTGCTCACGGTTGTAACTGGACATGCTTAATTGAAAAAAGGCCCAAAATACGCTAACTCAATCTGTCGATGTGCCAGCTATAACATATTGGCTAATTTCAGCCCCGAAATTGGTTGCTTACGCGTGACCTCGAGCACACAGCCGGACATTGTCCACTTTGCGAAGAAGATAGATCAGTGTGTGCCTAATCTTGTTTGAATAAACTAACAAGGTCGCGGCTTTTAGATACTTATTTGCGGGGGTATGTTTGCGGTATCAGAGCTCAGAGTGCCTCAGAGGTCAGTCAAAATGGGTTTTAAACTTAACCCGTTCAAGCATAAACATATTTGGTGTCGGTGGTAAGGTCAATCGATCTTTGTGTTGTTGGGCAGC